CCCCCCCCCCTATCACATATCGAGGCTTAAACGGCACTGACTGAATGGTTCTAGACTTTTGGTGATGATCCTCTGGGTGTGTTCTGATGCTATGCCAATGACTCTCTTGGTACAACAGCGCATATTACGATCTACATTAAGGTTCCCCACATCCAGTCCGGAGGGCCAGTCTGCACCACGATTTGCAGATTTCCCTGCTCAAACCTGCCTTGTTCAGCTCACTAGTAATTGCCAGATTTAGTAGGTATGTTTGAGTAACTGGGGAACCCTGGTCTAATTAAATGTTTCTACAAACTTCACATTAGCACCTTCCTAATGGACTGAAGCTGGGTCGTCAGCCCCTTACTCCACACGTCTTATTTCCCCTGTAGGAAACGCCACTTCCCAGCAGGCTCAGCGGCCCTCCTTCATGGACTACTTCGACAAGCAGGACCCGAAGGGCAAGGCCCAGGAGAACTGCAACCAGAACAGGCCGGATTCCTACCACATAGCCAAGAATGTCTTCCCTGACAACTGGAAGGTGCCGCAGGACGGGGACTTTGACTTTGTGAGTATGGGCTCCGGCTGCTGGGAGTGCTGGGAGTGCTGGCCGAGTCTAAGCTGGTGTTCTGGGTCGCCGCACGTGCCACCCGGCTCCTGCTCCTGCCGCACTGGGCAGCTTGTGGCGCCTCCTCCTGTCCACCGCGCTCCTCTGCTGCTCTCCCTTTTCAAAGCGAAACGCCTCGTTTCCTTCTCGCTTCTGCCTGCGCATCCGGTCGCTGAGAGGCTGGAAACGTCCCCACTGATGAGAAGACAGCAGTGGGTAGCTTTCAGTCCCCGAGCCCAGGCTCAGTGTGTGTCTGTTTACCAGCCACTCTACTTATGTATTTTTCCAGAACTAGAGCGGACTGCTATCGAACCGATAAATAAATTAGCTTCCGCGCATGAATGGACATGGCAGCGGTGCTAATGTGACAGATGTCACCGTGCAAGTCCGCTAGGACAAACTGGGCTTGCTGGAATTGCGCTCCCCTCCTCCGCACGGCCGCTAGGTGCTAACGGCTGTGACTCATTGGGTCCCCGCGAGGAATGAAGTCAGGCCGCATGGCCTCTGTTCTTGGGCATTACCTGGCGCCCCCTGTGTGCGGGGTTCCCCATGGGCATGCTGGGTAAACACTGCCAATTAGGATAACAGAACTTGCTTAGGCGCCAGATAACAGGGTAAATTGGTTTTTAACTATTGGCTTTTCCCTGAATGGTAGTAGAGCAGAACCGGGCTGACAATGAGCCTGTTGAAAATCAGACCAGCTCCCAAACTTGGTAACTGCAAGCTGAGGAGTTAATTTCTTCCTGTAGGGAAAGGTGTAAAGAACATCACTCCAGGCCACGGTAAAATCCTGAAATCTCATTCTCACCTGCCCGATTCCCCCCCCCCACCCCTCTGAAAACATCTCTCCCTGGTAGAAGGATAGGCCTTGTCCCCTCTGTGGCCGCAGGTCTGTCACGGTGCCAGTGGAGGACCGACTGCAGCCCAGCTCCGCATTTCATATGTCAGCCGGGAGCCACGTTTCACCCGAGTATAATTTTAGGGATACGGAGGAAAGCGAGCATGTCTCACCCCGCTGGCTGCTTCGTCGTCGTAGCCTTTCTGTGTTTTGTGTTGTGTGTATTCATAATTTTTTCCGCAGCTGCCTCCAAGTTAACAGCTGTAGCTGCTCTCAAGTCAAATTCCATCTTTCAGCATGCGCTGCTTCCTTTGTGTACGTGTGTCCCAGTCCTCCTTGCTGGGCTGCCGGTGCTGGGGGGGGGCAGCTCGCAGCCAGAGCGTGCTGCTGTGGGAAAGGGCTGTGGGTGGATGGCATGTACAAGCTGTGGGGCGGTGTCATTTGGCTGTACATCCTGTGGCCCTGGAAGCATTCTGCTGTGCTTTGTGCTAAAGGGGATATAAAGCTTCAAAATGCATGCTTTAGAAATGTGGACGTTGCATTTAATTTGATTGGATGATGTGAAAGCCTGGCTGGCCTATCAAATTTTTAAATGATTAATTTGAGCCAAACAGGAGAAGACCCGGTGAAAGCAGATCAGAATCACTCGGATTCTCACACACTGCAAAGTCAGGGAGGTGATGGGTTTTGGAACCTGTTCTCAGATCAGTTTGTAATCTCACTGTGATGGTTAGTAAGAAGCTGAATCAAATATAACTGCTTATTTTGAGTTTTTAATGTACTGTCACCTTGGGTTTCTGAGATCACTATAGATTCCATTTGAAAAGTGGATACCAAGGTGACAGTTCACCAAATCAAAGAATTAGCAATCATCTTAACCATGGCGACGGAGTTCTTAATTCAGGTTGTGTCAGTTGCCAGGTGTGTTGGGTGAGTCGGATGCTAGACGTCTCTGCGTCTCTTGTGGGCTGTGAGCAGGGAGCCTCCTCCTCTGGCTGCATCACGGCACGATACACGAGAAAACCTGCGAGCTGTGGAGCAGGAAAGAAGCCGGCAACTGTCAGCATGCGCGCTTGAGGGAGGGGCCTCGCCTTTACCCCCCCCCCGGGAGCTGGTGTGGGCGTACTACGTTGAGTGGGAGACCCGTGCGAGGAGAAATAAAATAATAGGCAGCTCCACTGAGAGAAACATAAAGAGCAGAGCCAAGATACATGGTTGTCTTAGCCGCAGATGGGGCCGAAGTCAACGTGAGCAGCCTAAATGGCAGCTGAAGCCCGACTCGAGCGCGTCCGTGAACATGCTGACGGGCGGGATGGCTGCGTGACGCTTAAATCCGGGAAGATTTGCCTTCGCATTGGGAAGCATCTGCCGGTCCAGGGCCTGTGTTGTGAAGGTGGTGTGTGGGGGCCTAGGCAGGGATGTGGAGAGGATGTGGGCCCTGCGGCGTGGGCAGGGATGTGGAGAGGATGTGGGCCCTGCGGCGTGGGGAGGGAGGTGGGTGTCACTGTCCCAATCTTGGGCCTTGCAGGTCGGAGGGGGGGGCGTGTCTCTGCGAGCGGTATGTTTTTCAGCTGCATATGAAAGCTGAAGAACAGGCCGTGTGTGTGTGTGCGTGTGTGCCTGTGTGTGTGCGTGTATGTGTGTGTGTGTGTGTGTGTGTGTGTGCGTGCGCACAGCCTCCCCCTATCACTGCCTCTTCATTAAGCCAGCCACTGAAAAGGCAGACAGTGCAGAACTGGAAATTGGAAATTGTGTTTCCTAGGGAACGGCGTGTGTTGTAATTACTTCCCTTCGCATCATGCGTCAAGGAAGATCTTGTGACACACTTCTCGTTAAATGTTAGGGTTTTTGAAAGGACAAAATTTGAATGTCGTCCATAATTCGTCCACCTTATCAGGAGGAGGCTGTGAGGATGTTGCTGTTCGCTGGGAGAGTGTGGATGTCATAAATATCCGGCATGAACCCTTTTAGCGATTTGGAGCTAGACCAGTGATATGCAAATGACCCATTACTGCATCGTAGAATGCGGATTTCATGAATGACACGTACAACATGAACTCTGTTGCATTTGTTTGTAAACAAGCTTGTGCATAAACAAGCAAGCTGATAGCATGGAGCCTGAACACATACTCACAATGTCCTAAACATAACTGGTGCTTTTTTTCAGTGGGTGTAACAAAAAACAGATATGAAGCAGAAATTAGGTCCTTCTGCTTCTGATACGGTGGCATTGATTCAGAACCCCTAATCCAGCTAAAATTTAGAAGGAAATTGCCTAAAAACTGATCACCAATCAATACACCCGACAAGGATGAGAAAGTGGGTATTAATGCATATTGCTGTAATCTTTTTTTTTTTTTTTTAAGACCTTTAGTTGCCTGGATTTTTAGACTGCTTTAAAAACATCCTGAATACGAGGATCTGAATAGAGGACACCAAATCATTATATGTCTAGCTCTGTTTTCTTTATTGTATATTGTTGACCATGTATCTTGTTTTTTTGTTTCCTATTGTTCACCATGTACCTAGATCCGTGTCGTACTGCCCGAGAGGGGAGAGATGCGCGCTCCTCATTCCTCTGTCATTCCCCCAGGGATTCGCCCCATATGCACCCCTGGCCCTGAGGCCTGTCTTTCTGACCCCTCTGGTGGTCCGCGAGGGGTTAAAGCGGCTCTCTGCCATACGCTGTGCCAGGCTGTCTGCTGCTCTACGTGCTGGAAGTTAACGCTTGACTTTCACACATCTTTAAATAGTTTGCTGCAGTTGCTGCTGGCTTTCAGTGTTTATGTATGTGACATAAATTCATTATATGATACCGTTCCATTTGCGTTATTCTTTATTACAGTATAAATGTACCCGGTATTTTTTGTATGTAATGCTCCATTAATCTTTCCTGGGGTATCTCAGTGCACTTAGTGGTGGGATTTATGAGTATTAAATACCAGGCCCCCTCCTCCTTTAATGTTCAGTAAATTCAACCGTTAAGTGGCTATTAGATCCTTCCTCTAAGCACAGTAATGAAATTTTAAGTGTGAATGTGTAGCAGTGATGAGATGAAGCCGTTTGAGTAGGTTTAACTCTCAGTGGTAATGACTCATGATCAGCGAATTAGGCTCTCTGTCTTATTTTAATGTAATGTTTGTTACCCCTATATGAAAACTGCACTACAGAGGCACCAGAAAGTAATATAGCTGCTGTCTCCGTTACCCAGAGTTCTCCAGGAAAATTCTCCTACTTGGAGAGAATATGCAACAGGTGGCTCAGTGGCCAAGGATCCTGACTTGTGATTGGAAATCTGCAGGCTGTATGAGCAGCCGTAGTGAGTCGTACTTAGGGAGAAGGGGTTTCGTTAAATGTGCAGCCGTGGGGGTGCCAAGGAAATCATGAAATTGTACCCTGTCTAGACTGAAATAGACAGAAGCATGTTAAAAATAATGTGTTTGCCTGTCTGTTACTGTCATAATAATAATAATAATAATAATTAATTAGTGTTATTTCACTGCTTTCTGGTGTGCCATTTGGTTCGTTCACGCAGTAGAGTGTTTTACTACGGCAGTCCAGGTTGAGTACTGTGCCAAATGCTGCTGTAGCAGAGCCCCCTGGAATGCAAACTGGCGACCTTCAGGTTAATGCTGTCAGCTATACAGCCCTTTTCTGGGTAAGGACAACAAAGGAGCGAGAGAAGCAGCTGGGCGAGACCCAGGCAAGCTCTGCCCACTGAGTAGAGCAAGACGCATGTCTGGCTGCTATGACTCAGGGGAGAGAGGTGAGGGTGTTGACAGACGACAGGAGAGGTGAGAACTGTGACAGGACAAGATGATGATCACTGGAGGAGGTGGTGGTGATGACCATGTCTGTGGTGCGGATGGTGGTGACTAACGTCAGTGGTGCATGCGTGGTGGTGACGATGACATCGTCTGTGGTGTGCGTGGTGGTGACGATGACATCGTCTGTGGTGTGCGTGGTGGTGACGATGACATCGTCTGTGGTACGCGAGGTGGTGACGATGACATCGGCTGTGGTGCGCGTGGTGGTGATGAAATCAGTGAAGGAGGTGGTTTATCAGTATTTTGCTCATTCATTTAGACTCTATGTAAAGATACACAAGGAAGTGCGTATCAGT